CCCCCCGCAAAAATACTGCACTTCAGTACAAGTGTACCATCCAAATCGCTTCTGATGACCTGTGTGAAAACACATATAAAACAGCCTTTATTGCCCCCGCAGATACCTGTGACCCCAGACGGGAGAAAACAAATCTGCGAATAACGAGGAACACTTCTGCCACACTGAAGCAGACAGTTTAGTTTTTATTAGAAATAAGTGTACATCTCCCTCACGGCTCCAATGGCTTACTAACTTTGAATTCTGGCAAGTTAAAATTATCATTGCTTAAAGGATGCTTGAACTTTTCATTAAGACACAGTGTGCAGAGAAACTAAAAAAGCTAACATAAACGAGGGCAGGGTGGTGCACAATAGTTAGTTTTTCTTAATTATTCGATGGTAGTGTCCTAGCGATAGGAGCCCTGGTGATGTAGTAGTTAAGGGTTGGGTTGAGAGGCACACAGTTGGCAGTCTGATACCACTGGCTACTCCCAGGGAGAAAGACTGAGTTTTCTACTCCCGTAGACAGTTACAGTCTCAGAAACTCACAGGGGGTCACGACGAACCAGCACCGGGGCCAATGGCAGTGTGCTGTGTGTGTGTCCTAGCGAACACGTCTGCTTCTTCACCCTTGTGTACCTGTATTATCCAGGAGGATGATCATGTTGTTCCAAGCCAGGCTGTGCTCTGGTTTCAGCACGGTGGCATTTCTCCAGGCATTCAAGGCGTCCATATGACGGTTCAGATCTGCATACTGGAGACACATGCACATAAGCCAGCAGCCCACTGATTCCATGGCTCTTTTCCCTCGCTAAGACATCATGACCACACACACACACACACACACACACACACACACCATGGAAGACAAATCCTTGTGTTCACTGAGCTAATTTCTTAAAAAACAAAACACGTTTTACTGTAGTAATATATGAGGAAGGCTTCAAAGAATTTGTGGAAAAATAGGATGAAAAGCTAATGGCTTTCCCCACAATTTTTGATGCCTCCTTATCTATGTGTGTATGTGGAGAATCACTAGTGACATAGTTTTCTTTTCTTATGCAAATAGCATGCCAAAGTCACCAGCTAAACTCCAGCAGGACATTCTTTCTGGCAGACCCAGCAAAGTCACGGCAACTGATTTTGCACAAATTATTTCACGAGTCAGTGTCTTCATGCTTCCATCTTTACCAGAAAGCAAGGGCCGACTCGGGTACCATTCGTCACGGACCATTCCACGACAGACACTGAGTGCCTGCATCATGTTCTTCAACCATCACCACGCTCCCTTTCCAAAGGATTCCATGGTCATTAACAGCAGCTCAGTGCCCCCTTCCTTCCGGCCTCTGGTAGCCACTAATAAACTTTAGCCTCTACATATTTGGGGGCTATAGTCAGGTGCCATTGAGATGGCTTGGCCCATAGAGATCCGATGCACCACAGAAGGAAACACGCCAGCCTCACACCTGTTCTTATGCTTGAGTCTTTTGTTGAAGTCACGTGTCAACCCGTCATTGAGGATCTTCCTCTTTTTCCGCTGCCCCTCTACTTTGCCAAACATGGTGTCCTTCCCTAGGGACCAGTATCTCCTGTCAACATGGCCAAAGTACATGAGATGAAGTCTTGGCATCATTGCCTCTAAGGAGCACGCTGACCTTACTTCTTCGAAGATAGATCGGGGTGTTCTTTTAGCAGTCCACGGTACTTTCAATGTCCTTCTCTAGCACCACATATTTGCCGAACAAGTTTATAACAGTATTTGTTCCTTTGTAACTGGCTCGTCTCACTCAGCATGATGTTTTCAAGGTGATTCCATGTGGTTGTGGCATGTATTTGGACTTTGTTTATGGTTGAGAAATACTACATTGGATGTTTGCATCACATTTGGGCTGTCAATCCATCTGTTGATGGGCATTGAGGTTGCTCCATACGTTTAATGTGTTTTATATTTAGTCATCCAGACAACAAACCTACTGACATAGATACATATTATTGCTGTTGTTGTCAGGGGTCATGGAATTGGTTCTGACTCATAGCAACCTTCTGTATAACAGAATATAATACAGCACTGCCTGGTCCTGGGCCTCCGCAGCTCTGTCTGAGCCCATTGTTGCAGTCACTGTATCAATCCATCTTTTGAGGGTCTTTTTCTTTTCCACTGACCCTCTACTTTATCAATTCTCATGGAAGCAGCAGTCAAGAGATCAAACCACTGACTGCATTGGGTAAATCTGCTGCACCAGACCTCTTTGAGGTGATACAAAGCAAGGATGGTTCCTTGAGGACGGAGGTGACTCTCACCCAAGCCATGGCATTCTCAATCGCCTCCTCACCTGCCTGTGGAAGTTGACACGGAACCAGGAAGACTGAAGAAGTGATGCATTCGAATTGTGCTGCTGCGAAGGGCACAGGAGGTATCCTGGGCACCGCCCAAAGAACTAACCCGTCTGTCTTGGAAGAGGCACAGCCAGCCGGCTCTTTCGAGGAAAGGATTGTGAGACCTGGTCAGGAGACACCAGTCCCTGGAGAAGGACATCATGCTTGCTGAAGTAGAGGGACAGGACAAAAGTAGGAGGCCCTTGACAAGATAGACTGACCCAGTGGCTGGAACTATGGGCACAGGCACAAGAGCATGGTGAGGATGGGGCAGGACCAGCGTCACTATGAGACAGAACCCGCTCGACAGCACCTAGCTTGTTTCCCCGAAAGCAAGACATCCCTGAAAATAAGACCTACCGGAAAATAAGCCCCCCCCCCCACAAGCTACCATAACTCTGGACTCTGGACCATAGCGGTGGGCGCGGCCACGCAGCTCACTGTTGGCTGCAGCGCAGCTGGAGCAGACAGGAAGTGCGAGGTCTCTTTTAATGAAACAATAAACAATAAATGTGTACCATATTCTTCTTCATGGAAAAGTAAGATATCCACTGAAAATAAGACCTAGCGCATCTTTGGGAGCAAAAATTAATATAAGACACTGTCTTATTTTCGGGGAAACAGGGCAACAACAACTATTACTACTACTTTATCAAAGCGCTGGATCTTTTACACAGACTCTGGAGATCACATACAAAGTATGTGAGGCAAAGCCTTACTTCCCTTGTGTCTAAGGAACATTCTGGCGGTACTACTGCCAAGACAGTTTGGTTTTCTTTGTCCTGGAGATCCATAGTACTGTCAATAATTTTCGCCTGGACTGTAATTTAAATGCATCGGTTCTTCTTCACTTTTCCATATTTGATGTCCGACTGCCATATGCACAAGAGCTGGCTGAAAATACCAGGGCTTGGATCAGGGACCTTCGTTCTCAAAGTGACTCCCTCCATCTCCAACACTGTAAAGAGGTCCCAACAGCAGATTCCCCAATACCAGCCATTGTTTGTTGGTTTTGACTGAGTGTGAATCCAAGGACAATGAAAGCCTTGCCAACTTTGACAGTTTCTGTTTATCGTGATGTTATCTATTGGTCCAGCTGTGAGGATATTTAGTTTTGTTTTTGTTTCCAAACGGACCAAGTTACTCATAGGCTAACTCATTCGCTCAGTTACACATTTAGAAATGGTAGAGCAGGGAATGGACCCGAAGTCGTTTACCTAGCGTTTACTATCACTTATGACTTTATAGTGCCAAACCCTATTTTCAGACTCTGGCAGAGAGATAAGAAAAAAACTGAATCCCACACCAGCCTGTGTGATCACAAGTTGTTGAAGGGATCAGGTATCAAAAAAGCAAATCATCAGGAATGAGGGGGAGTGTGGAGTGGGGACCCAAAGCCCATCTGTAGGCAACTGGACATCCCCTTACAGAAGGGTTGCGAGGAGATGAGCCAGTCAGGGTGCAGTGTAGCAACGATGAAACACACTTTCCTTTAGTTCCTAAATGCTCCCTCCCTGCCCCCCCTATCATGATCCCAATTCTACCTTACAAATCCAGCTAGACCAGAGGATGAACACTGGTACTGATAGGAACTGGAAACACAGGGAATCCAAGGAAGATGATCCCTTCAGGACCAGTGGTGAGAGTGGTGATACCGGGAGGGTGGAGGGAAGGTGGGGTAGAAAGGGGGAACCGATTACAAGAACCTACATATAGCCTCGTCCCTGGGGGATGGGCAACAGAAAAGTGGGTGAAGGGAGACGTCGGACAGTGTAAGATATGACAAAATAATAACAATTTATAAATAATAAGGGTTCGTGAGGGAGTGGGGAGCAGAGAGGGAGGGGGGAAATGAGGAGCTGATACCAAGGGCTCAAGTAGAAAACAAATGTTTTGAGAATGATGATGGCAACAAATTTGCAAATGTGCTTGACACAGTGGATGTATGTATGGATTGTGACAAGAGTTGTATGAGCCCCCAATAAAATGATTAAATTAAAAAAACATGGTAAAGATATTAAAAAAAAGTGAAAAAAAAGAAAAAAAACCCAGAATCTTTAGATTCCCCCCCCCCGAAAGATTTCATAATCTTGATAAAGTATTCATGAGAACAATAAACAAATTATTTTATGTGGTTAAAAGTTATGTCAAATTAAACATATAAAGAATGGTCTTGTAGACTCTTTCTGCCTATACCTAGGCTTAATGTAAAAAAAAAATGAGTATATTGTATGAGAAGCAGTTGGTCAATTCCTGGGAGTCTTATGGGGTAAGGTGAAACTTCCTGATCAATAGACTGTTTATCCGTGACGAGGAGAGGCTATCTGCTGTCTCCTCTGAGATGGCACTTATTCTACAGCAGTAACAGTGCACGTGGCGGGCTCCGGATTTGAATGGCTAATAACCAAGTACATGGAAAGAGAAGATAGACTTTTTTTTTTAGCTGGTGACCCTCCTGCCTTATTCAACTCAGTTTAAACATACATTCATCTAAATGTACTTACTGGGTTAACCTAACTCTCGAAAATCTACCAGTGATAATAATTTATCAGCGCTTAAGCCTATTTCACTATTTACTGTCAAGGCTGGCTTTTTATTAGACAACAGAAACATTTTGACTTGCCCCTATGACCCACAGAGCAAATAGGTGGCCTATTGTGCAAGAAAAAAAAGAAAGGCTTCATGAATTATGGAAACATTTATAAATATCCATTTAATAAAGATGCTGTCAGAAGTTCCCACGAGACTCAGAAACTTAAGCTGCAATATTTTATCCCTTAAATAAAGACATGAGGCAAAAGTTCAAAACATTCAAATAATTTGGGATGCTTAATGATATCAGCATTTCATTGTCTTTGTGTGTGTGTACTCCATTGATTTCCTAGTCAATTGTCTCCAGCACAAGGCACCTAGGAGCCATGAGTCTGAATCCATAATGACATTCTTTCTAACACACCAGCAAAACCAAGGTAACTGGATGCACACAACCGATTTTGCAAATCAGTGCCTTCATGTATTTTTACCACTGATTGAAGAAAAACAAAAGACAGAATTAGGAAAAACTTGGTTTCATTTAGTGTCAATTGACACCCTTTTTATAGCACCTCCACAAAGTGAGCAAACACTTTAAGGGAACCAGAAAAAAGGGTGTTTTAACTAAGAACTACGCATCGAACTCTGCCTTAGACGTACAGCCTTAGACGTATGCTCCTTAGAAGCGAGGATGGCGAGAATGCATCTCAAGTACTTCGGACAGGTTATCAGGAGAGAACAGTCCGTGAAGAAGGACATCATGCTTGGTAAAATAGAAGACTTCTGACAAGATGGATTGACACAGTGGCCGTAACAATGGGCCCAAACATAACAATTGTGAGGATC